TCAGTAAGATGAGAAGTAAACAGTTTAGGGTTTATCTAAAATCTCTTAGACGTTCAAGAAAGACGGCACTATTTGTAGCGATAAAAGATAGTCTAGACGTATTTACTGAAAGAAATCGGGGATTTCTTTCATTGCTTAGAAGCTTATCGCAATCCCTACCCATGCCGAAATGTTTAATCGTACATTCTCATGCATTACCTGACGTTAATAAGAAAGAAGCATTACAATTTCTATGGAAAAGAGATTATTTGGACGTTACGATTTTGGTCTATCATGAAGAAGAGTCCAAGTCACTGAAAGAGAAAAGCGACAAGCAACCTTTTCTGCATCGTTTGAATCCGTTTACAAAAAAGTACACTGCCCTTCAGATATCAACTACAAGTCAATGGTTTCCAAACAAACTTAAGAATTTACGTGGATATCCTTTAAATTTTCTGTTAAGGTACGGAAGTAAATCGGTGTCAACTCAATTCAGCACAGGAAAGAAATTTGCTGAAATTTTATCACACCACATGAATTTTAGACCTTGCATTCATAAAGCTATTCCACATCAAAGAGTGTCTACTCAAACACTTTTGAATAAAAAGAAAGCTGAAATGTTTCTAAACACATTTTTATTTGTAAATTATTTACAAATAAATATTTTAGAATTGGGTTATATAATGGAGTCTGATGCAAGAGCTGTAATTCCGAGAATTACAAAATCTTCGAAAGTAATTGTTCTTTCACAAGAGTTCCTGTACATGCTTCTGGGAACTATTGGTACGATTTGCGTACTTAAATTGACTGCGATTATGATGCGATTCAACAAAAGAACATGGACAGTATCGAACATCAGTCAAATGATAATGGGACTGTCCGTTATCGAGGAACCGGTTGAACCGACGGAGAGAATAGTGTTTGGAACTGTATTACTCGCTTGCCTCGTGTACACAGGCTACTTTTTTTCTGTCATCTTGGACCTCTCACTGCAATCCTCACCAGAGATAGAAACTCTTGCAGAACTCGCTGCATCGTCTTTGACACATGTAATCAACAGTCCGATTTTATATACTTCAATGACATTAAGTTCTAACCTTCTTATCAGAAAATTAGCACAAAATTCTACTGTAGTTCCAGCTATCAAATCAAATTTGGAATGTCTTCTATATTTGAATGATTATCAAAATGTGTCCTGCATTAGCGGTGGAGTAATAGCACACGTTAATCACATAAAGGAGTTAAAAGGAGAATTTAATGGAAAGATGTTGTCAGAACCAGTTGCTCATCTAACCGAAGGATTTGTTTCAAGACATAACTCTCCGTTCACTGATCGCTTTAGGGAGATTATTGTGAAAGCATCAGAACATGGTTTTATTACAAAACTCTTTGAAACCGTCAAACTAGAGCATCAGATTGTAGAGTTACCACAGGAAATCGAGAAAGAAAAGTTATTGCTGATCTCTTTGTACGTACTTTCGATTGGATTTTCACTGTCTATTCTTGCATTTCTATTTGAAATTTTCGCAAGTATTATTGGTGAAAGATTGTTTGCCTTTTTCAGGGCATTAGTATAAACCCAGTGGGCAGACTTATTCAAAAGACATCCTAAAAATGTTCTAGGTCTTTGCAATTAGATTTCTTTAAGACGTCTTCTTGTTTCAAACTTTGAAAGTAGAAACATTTCCATATATAGGAAATATTATTTTCTAAGTTCAACTTGGATTTGGAAACTGCTGAAGATAAAAGTTATTGGACCTAAATGGTAGTAATTTACTCAGAAATATCCAAAGAAGAAAATTCTATATTATAAGAATCACAGTAGGCAAAAAATACATTGACGTTTAAGGAACGTTTCTAAGACGCTTCATGTCTGCCAAATTGAGAATTGAAAAACTTTTAATGTTCAAGAAACGTTTTTAAAATATTAATTTGACAAATGTGAAACGTTCTAGTAACGTTCCTCGAACATAAATGTTTTTTTACCTACTGGGATGTTTATCTAATTGTCAAGTAGAATATGAATATATTTTTTTGTATTAAATTTTGAATGTCAGCACTCAGAAAATTGTATATTGGTTTAAAAAAATATTACATGTTTGTAACTTTTGTTTCTATAGTGATGACAAAATCGATATTAAAAAAAAAAAAATTTCATAAAGTTCAAGGTTTCTACTAACGTGATTATCGTGTTAAATATGTTTGTTACTTTTTAAGAATACTTGCATTAAATTTTGTCTTACATTTGAATGTTTTATAAACTAAAAAAATGCTTTAACTGTCTTTACTTTTGATAATGTTGTGCATAATATTGTTAATGTGATGTTGTAATAAATAAATAAATAAATAAATCTTACATTTATTACCTACAATAAAGTATTTCTTTATTTTATTCCAAGAAAATATTTTTGCCTTAATAGGTTTAAAATTTTTAAATAGAAAAAATAGTTTTTAATTTTTGAAAATTGAGGCCTTGGATCCAATAACTCGCCCGACGCTCGGAGGAACGCGCAACTACCAGTCAGTGAGCAGTGAGCGCCTCTGGGCCACTCACTGCTACCCGACTGGCATTAGCGCGAGTCTCCGAGCGTCGGGCGAGTTATTGGATCCAAGGCCTCAATTTTAAATTTATAAAATAGATAAACAAGTTGTTCATTTCATGACCATTTAGCCTCCTCAATATGTGACGCTCCACGAGAAAAGGGACCTTATTTACTCTTGTCATAAGGTCCCTTTTCTCGTGGAGCGTCACATATTATAAACAAATTTCTTCTTAAAAAAGTAAAAAAAGTCCATGACATGAATATAAATTTCAAACTGTTTTAGAATCAATACTGAAATTGAAACTTTATGTATTGCTAGATTTTTATTATTGAATAATTATTTCAAAGTGTTAAGGGGGTCAAAATATAGCTGGGCCTCCCCCTTAATATATATACCACACTAGAAAACTTGTAAAAATAATTGATTCTAAGAAATTCGAACATCGACATCACTAGAGAGCTAGCTTCCTTTGAGAAAGCAAAAAGGATAGAATTTACCTTTTTTGTTTATTTAATCATAATATTTAACTCTCTAAATTTGAATTAGCAAAAAGTCGCTGATTCACAGCCCAGAGTATGCAGCAAAATTTATTTTATATTTTTTTCATTTCTTCAAAATCTGAATTGTGGCAATGCGTTCTTATGGTATTGGATGCACCGAACACGAATCTGATGTCAAAAATATACCTTCAGTGGCACGGGTTAATATTTATCAATTGGCCTGTTCTTCTTTTTTGTTTTACATTGTAAAATTAATTAAACTTTAAAATGAAGCAGTTGGAAAATTGTATTTTTGTTATCGTTCAAAAATAATATTTTGTTTTCAATTCCTGTTTCCATAGTGATGGCAAAATCGATACTTTTTTTAATTGTTGTTATAAAGTTCAAGGTTTCCACTGTCGGGATTGTTTTAGGATTTTCAATAATATATGCATATTATGTCAAGTAAATACATTTACTTGATTCAATTACATTTTTTTTAGAGTACTTGCTGTCATTTGATACTATTACTGAATAAACAATAAAAAGGGGAAATTCTATCATGTTTTAAATATTTTATTAATTCGAAATTTTTTAAAATGAAAAATATTTCTAATGTAGTACATTTTACAAATTTTAAACCCATTGAACCAAAATATTTTCTTCGATAAACTACAAAAGGAATAAAATAAGAAATACTTATATAGAATAATAACATATTTTATTGTAACAGCACATTAACAATAATATGCACAACATTATCAAAAGCAAAGACAGTCAAAGCATTTTCATTTTATAAAACATTCATTAATGTAAGACAAAATTTAATGCAAGTCTATTCTTAAAAAGTAAAAAACATATTTAACACGATAATCTCGTTAGCGGAAACCTTGAATTTTAAAAAAAGAATTTAAAAAAAATATCCATTTTGTCATCACTATAGAAACAAAAGTTATAAACATAATATTCTCGTCAAAATTTCAATTATCTTTAGAAATAATAAAATTCTCCTAAGAAATTTAATTATTTTCCAAACTTTTAATAAAATTCTTGTCAAAATTTCAATTATTTTAAAAAATTCTCCTCAATTCAATGATTTTCAATATCTACCATTTTAATAAAATTTTACCAAATAATTTACTTAATTATTTAAAAAAATTTTTAATGAAATTCTACGCATACATTTAATTATTTTCATAAAATAATAAAAATTTCACAGAAATTCCATTATTTACAAATTTTTTATATGTAAATGTCTTCGCAACCATTCAATTATTTTAATAAATAATAAAATTTTCATAAATAATAAAACTCATTTCAGAATTTAAATTATTTTTAATAAAATTTTAATCGAATTCCTCGAAAAATGTAATTATTCTTAAAAATTTTATTAAAATTTGTCAAAAGAATTTAATTATTTAAAAATATGTTGATAAAATTCTTCATGAGAATTTAATTTTAAGAAACATTCAATTATTCAATAAATTATTTATTTTAGTATTTAAATAATTGAATTCTAGTAGGATTTTTTAATAAAACTTGATTTAAAAATTAATTTTAGTTAAAATTTTAGATAATAATTTAATATTAATAGCAGTCCTAGCCTGAATTTTTAGAAATAATTGAATTTTGAAATTAATTTTTTTTTTAAAAGTTCAATTGAATTTTTAAAATATTTTTTTAAGTTTTTATTTTCTAATATATTTTTTAATTGAAGATTTTACGAATAATTGAAATTCGTAAAATTGAATATTGTAAATAAATATGGATTTGAAAATTGTTAGAGAACTTTTTCGAAAATTAATTGATTTAAGGAAGAGTTTTAGTTCAAATTCTTGAAAATAATAACTGAATCTGACTGGTTTTATTTTTGTCAGTAATTGGTCCGTAATTTTTCATTTTTTTCCGTAAAGTCCGTATTTTTAAATACTTCCACTGTTTTTAACCCTGATATTTAAACATATTTTTTTATTGATTTATTATTGAATTTGTTTACAGGAATACAAATACGAGAATCCTTTCAATACAGACGTAGATTTCGAACTTTTACCACTTCGACAAAAGGTTGAGATACTTCGAGCTCTCTGTGACTTCAGGCTCGACGCTGACAACGTAGTATGTAGTTAGAAAATTTTCTAAATAAAAAAAATCCTTTATTTTATTAAGATACACACTGCTTTATTGCGCATAAAATTTTAGAAATTGACATTAAATTTCTTGTTTCTTAATTCCTTTGGAATTTTTTTTTGAATTTGTTAATTTAGCAAGCCTAAAATGCTTCTGGTTGTTATTAAAAGATTAAAATAATTTTTTGGATATTTACAGGAACAATCTTTGAGTAACTTGGATGCCAACAGTTTGCGAGTGGAACCCTTAGGTCATGACCGTAAGAATTCTGCCTATTGGTATTTCTACGGCACCAGATTGTACAGGGAGGATTACGTCAATAATTTCAATACAACTATTCAGAAATCGAGTAGTAAGTCAAAGGATAAGAAACGCAAAAGACGACGAAACAGAGTGGTTAAGGAGGAAGAGAAGGAAGAGGAGACGGAGGAAAATTGCCTAAACTTGGAAGAAAGTGAGAACGCAAAGAACAAAAGCATTTGGCAAGTTGTTTGTTTCACTCAGCAAGACTGGAGCCGACTAGTTGATAAATTGAAGAATTCTGTAAGAATATTTTCCCATTATTTATTTTATTTTGCACTAAAAATTATTATTCTTTTGAATCTTCTATAATTTTTATTTTTAAAAAACATTTCCAGGAATACGACACAGAGAGAAAGTTATTTCGAACATTATCCGAAGACTTTATGCCTGAGATTCCGAAACTTTTCGATTTGAAGGAAAAGCAGCAGAGAAATAAGCTTCTATTACGCAACAACTCTCGAGCTCTTCGAAGTCACGAGCCTGATCTTAATATTGAACTTGAACCAAATTCGAAATCTAAATCAAATATTCAAGCAACAATGAGTAAAATAAAAGTAAAGTCAAAGGCAGACAAAGAATTGAAGAAAAGTAAAATTCATAATTCGAAGAAAAGTAACATTGAGGAAGATGTTCCTTTACCAGTTTCACAACCTGTACAAAAGAAGGGTAGACAGACTAATAATTCTCTGGCTTCTGCGGTTGGACAGATTGTTATTGATACAAGAGATGAAACATCAGACATGGTGAATAGAAAAGGCGACAAAAAGAACACCGACAATTACTCTTCTTTGAGGTACAACGATATTTCGTTCGGGATTGAGGAAGAGGAACGTCAAGTGGGAATGCACAAGGTTCTGGAAAGTGTCAAAGATCATGAAGAAGCTTGGCCTTTCGTTGACCCTGTTGACGAGGAATACGCTCCCAGGTATTATTTTACCTAAAATTTCACTTAAAATAACTTTTTCAGAAATTATTAAGAAAGATTGATTTAAAGAAGAATTTTAGTTAAAAATTTTAGAAAATGTTAATTAAAGAAAAATTGTTATTGCTTACAGATATTACAGCGTTGTTCGACGACCAATGGATCTGAGTAAAATGGAAGAGAAACTTGAAAATGGTTGTTATAAAAATCTAAAACAATTTAAAAAAGATTTCAGTCTTATTGTCGATAACTGCAGACAATACAATGGATCTGAAAATGGTAAGAAACATTTTTTATCTTAATAATTTTTTTAACTCTTAAAAGTAAGAAATTACATTTTTTGAAATTTATTGTAAAAACGTGTTTATATCTTTTAATATAAAAGGTGTATAAGAAACGTAGTTACAATTTTTTTAAGAAAATTAAAATTTACCGAATATTCTTAAACTTAAAACTAATGTTTAATTAATATTTTTTTTACAGAATATACAGAAATGGCAATTAACCTTAAAGAAGTGTTCGAGCGTGCAGTGAGTCGATATCTGGATTCGGAACTATCAAGTGAGGAAGATTCATCGACGAATGTAAAATCTGTGTCCGCATCAACAGTTTATACTCAACGTGTTTCCTCAGTATCTTCACCCCAACACAATCAACGTAAACGATTTCGAAAGTCCAGTAAGAAATCTAAGTCAAGTAAATTTAGTAAAAGAGTAAATCAAAAGAATTACAAAGAAGATTCCTTAAAAGAAGAATCCGATTCAGGTGCAGTAAAAAGTAAAAAGGTTAAAAAGAAATCAAAGAAATTAAAGAAGAAAATGAAAGTTGAAGAACGCGTTGAAGAGGAGGAAGAAGAAGAAGAAGAAGAAGAATTAGAAGACGAAGAAGAAGAAGAAGAAAAAAAAGAGAAAGAAGAAAATTCGAAAAAGAATGTAAGTGATGGTGCAATATCTGTCATGAGTATAATTAAGTCTAAAAGAAAAAAAGGTGTAGATGTAAATAGGTCGGTTGCAAGTAATAAAAAAGAATCATCTGAAGATGAGAAAACTGAGGAGATGACGAAAGATAGTAGAAAAAATGCGAGAGAACTTCGGCAAGAAAAACATGCCAAAGATACAATTAATTTATCGAAAAATTTAAAGGCAAATAGAAAAAGAAAGGAAAGTTTTGAGGAGGACTGTCATGTCGAGTGTTCTAAGAATAAGATTAGAAAAATTGAAAGCAATGATATTAAAGATTCTGAATCATTAATAACCAGAATGAAGAAAGTTAAACAAAAGCACGATAGATCTCATGAGAAAAATAAAACAATACAAAATTTAAAAAAGAGTTCACTCAAAGAAAATAAAAGTTACAAGAAAGATAAAAGGGAAATTGCATCTGTTCACTCTAACCTTAAGAAGCACGAATTAAAAAGTAAAACCAAAGATAAAAAAATGAAAAAGAAGAAGAAAACAAGCAGTGACAGAATAAAAAATGTCGATTTGAAAGATAATTCAGAATCGATGAAAATTGAAGATTCGAAAGACGTTGAGAAAACTGATGCTATTTCTATGAAACTTGCGTCCCTCGTTAATAATAAGGATTTGGAGTCTTTGGATAGTCTTAAAGACAAAATCAGCGAAAGGCGGAGAGAGGAAAAATTTAAATTGGATCGCAAAAAGGAAAAGAAACCCAAGCCTGATGGCTTTATCTTGTCTGCAAAAAAAGTGCCTTCTAGTAGTAATATGTTTCAGAATAGTAATAAAGTTAATTCAAAACATGGTAAACCTAAGAAAGTTGTTAAAGATGAAAAATTATTAATAGCCAACACGAAAATTCAATATTCAGATATTAATAAGAAGAAGAAGAAACTGAAAGTTCTACACACCAAACAATCTAAACAGAAAGAGGAGACTCCAGCAATACAGGCTTTGAATCAGGCCACAGAGCAAACGCTTAATGTAAGTTTATTAATATTTTTAGAATAAAGCTTAAACTGTAACAAATCATTTACTTTTACTTATTTAAATTTATGGATTTTTAAATATTTTTTTTCAGGATATTAACAAATGGTTGGATGACGCTCCACGTTTGTCTGAATTTTCTTCAGGCAGTGAATCTCCTGTACTTCTTCCTTCAACAAGCGATGCTAGTCGATCTGCTGCCAAACTAGACACATCTCGGAAGAAAGCTCATCCGATAAAAGCTTTTGGATCTCATTCCCAAATAAAAAAGAAAGTTCAAAGGACTATTGACAGACTGCAACCAGGAAAAAGTAAAGGAAATTTGTTATTAAAGAAACCTCGCAATGTGCCAAGTGGAAATTCGACGGATACTGTGGAAAAAAATGCAGCGGTTGACATTGTGAAACCAAAACGTGACTCCGATGATGAACCAAAATTAAGTCTAGGTTCGGTTCTCAAAAACACTGATTCTATTCAATCATTTTGTAAGAATTTAGTTGGCTCGCCAAATCCGAATTTATCCAATGAGGACGAAGACGTGGACAATTCTTCTGTTCCTGCAAATCTGGCTACTAAGGAAGATCCCCAGGCAACAAATGCGACAAACCAAGTCGTTGAAAGTGCGTCGTCCTCTGAAGTCGTTAAAGAGGAATTATCTTTGCCTAATGATTCTCAGAAGCTTAAGTCTGCGACGCCAAATTTGAGTGCTTGGTTTAAGGCTTTCGGAGCTCCTAAATCAAAAAGAAAGGACGAAGATGTGGAAGAGTCGCAGAGCAACTTTAAGAAAGAGAGCGAAGTAGCGGAAGTCGGCGTAAGGCAGAGAAGAATGAGTACCGGAGGCAGTAGCGTCAGTGAGTCAATTTCTAGTTTCTCTCAAGAATCGCCACCTGCTCGGTCGGTACATTCACCTCAAAATACACAAGTTCTGATACCGGCAACTGAACCGCCGATCCGCGGTGCAGGATTCTATCAAGACGCTCTAAATACTGGCACTAGTCCCTACAACAGTCCATACTACGCCACTCCACCTCGGTACAGTGCGCAACTTCCTCCCACTCCATCCCCTCAGAATCACACTTTATCTCCGGTTTATCCTTCTCCCGTTACCTTCGAACAATCTTCTCTCTACTCGAAAAACTATCAAAAAACCTCTCCTCAAGCAAGTCCAAACGAATCTTTCCGTCAACTGTCACCCTCGTTTCCACAATCATCTCCTCAGCAGTCTTTCCCTCAAAATTCTCCCCAGAATGCATCGTTCTCTCAGAACCAATCTCCGGTTTATCCGCAGCAGTCACCTCAGTCGATGCACTCACCTTATCCGCAACCATCGCCACAAGCTCCTTCTTCTAATTACTCGCAACCGTCTCCCCAACAACCACCGACGCCAATTTACTCGCAACCTTCTCCCCAACAACCGCCAACGCCAATTTACTCGCAACCTTCACCTCAACAACCACCAACGCCTATTTACTCGCAACCTTCTCCCCAACAACCACCAACGCCAATGTATTCCCAACCCTCCCCGCAACAAACCAACAATTTCTCCCAACCATCTCCCCAGTCCATCAATTACTCTCAGTCTTCACCGCAACATCCAAACTCGCCTTACTCTCAACCGTCACCACAATCAATACCCAACTTTTCACAACCATCGCCTCAACAACAATTGTCTCCCTATTCGCAACCTTCGACACCTCAAAACCAAAACTATCCTCAGCTATCTCCTCAACCTCCGGTCAGCTACTCCAAACCCTCACCACAGCTTCCACCAAATTATCAACAACTCTCACCTCAAGCACCGGCTTCCTACTCTCAACCTTCCCCTCAGTCGCAAAACTATTCGCAAACATCGCCTCAACAAAGTCAACAAAGCCAACAAAGTTTTCAAAACTCAAAAGAATCTCCCCAGCCGCCGGCAAATTACTCACAACCAACTCAGCCTGCGACTTACCCTCAACCCTCAAATCAACAGCTGCCACCGTCTTACGCTCAGCCAAAACAATCGCCGAGCAATTACTCCCAACAATCGCCAAATCGACAAACTAATTATTCATATCCCTCACCGCAGACAATGCAAACATCACAAAATCAACACTTCCCCCAAACATCTCAGACCTTCGAGGCAGCGGCAAAGACCGTAGATCAGAACTACAGTCGCACACCAGATGCATATCCACCCAACTTTAAACAACCTTACTTGGAAACCTCTGCCACAAATACTCTACCCGATAACAGAAGACTAGATTTTCACAAGGAGGAGAAACTTCCAGAGCAGAGGTTCTCAACGCAAGACACGAATGTAGCATTAAGTCAAACATTTCAATCAAATCAATTCTCAACATATGAGAATAGTTTCAATGAAAGAATTTCCGGACAAACGGAAATGAGGACCATGAACCAGGAACAGCAGCGTGTGGCACAAGCACAGGATCAGTCACAAATTTTGAACTTTCACGAAGGAGTTTATCAGACTAGTTTTCAGTCATCGTCCTCGTCTTCATCTTCGTCTTCTTTCCCGATATCAAACACCAGAACACTATATCCGGGAAGTCACTATTTCGAATCGGTGAGTTCGAAAAATATACCAACGGCGAATTCCAGTAATAATTTACCGGCGACCAAAAAGAGAACTTACGAAGTAACCGCATCAGATTCTAATCGTCTTCCGCAAGAAACTCGCCCGGGGCAAGAGCAGTTCGGCTTTGATCTAATGATGCCCTTTTCGGAGAGCGAGTCTCCACAGTTCGACAGTAGTTATGTTAATAGTTTGGCCGAGTCGGTAGCGTCCAATTCCGCCTACTCGAGGTTGGGGCTCGGACTCATCGGTCGTCCGACGAAGGAACAACAATTGCTTACGATTCCCCGACCGCCAGGGAAACCTGAGACAATCTATCGAGGTGCCGCGCCTGGCAATGCCGAACTGGACTTAAGTCTTCTCCAGAGTCTTCAGAGCGCTGCGAAAAATCCCCAAGCAATGCTTCCGATTGCCAGAAGGGAGCCAACGACGACCGCAGCTCCGACGAAAAGCAAAAAGGGAAGAAAGAGCAAAGCTGCGGTCGCTATCGAACAACAGGGCACACCGGCCTTAGCAAGCTTCGCGCAATATTCGGGCAATCCAGAAGCCATTGGCCTGAAGAATCCAGTCGTCACGCCCGGGGGAAGTGCTTTCAATTTCGCCTCCACTGCTGGCACGGCCAACAATTCGCCGTTCTACGACAAGGACACTTCAGCGGCCGCTGCCGCCTACGCCTTTCTCGACGAATTTCGAAATCCGAATAGCTACTACAGTATGGCTTTCAGGCAACAACAGCAGCAGCAGCAGCAACAGCAAACTCCTCCGGTCACCGACTCGGGGCAACAACCCTGCAATAAACTAAGCACCCAGCATCCTAGGAACTACTCGGCGCATCCTTTTCTCCACACTCAGCGGACCGCCGCCTACGGACCGTCAGTGCCGACCTACGTCACCCCGCACGGTCCGAATCTCGGCGTCGATCCCTTTCAGCAGTATTTACACTCTTTCTACGCTCTTCAACAACAACCACATCATCACAGGCCCTCTTGGCTCTAGCTGAAACAATCGACTAAAGAACAAACAATCCTATGGAAGTGAATTATTGATTACGATTGATATCGAAAAAAGGAATTCTTTGCATTTGTAGTTATATTTTGTGCAATGATCTCTTTTCGTCTCTGTATAAAAATTAGACATTATATAAACTTTTGATCTAATTTCATTCTTAAGTTTTATAGACAATTATATAAATATATATTAGAGAAACGTATAAATTGGGATAGTGTGTAAGCTTCTTTTTCGTTTTTTTTATTAGTTAAAAAAGTTGGGACATTTTTTTGTAACCAAAATGTACAAAAAGATCGCGTTAAAATGAAATTATTTTTTTCCTTTCATATCAATTGAGACGTTTCGGTTTTGTTTTTAAAGACGTCACTTTTCTTTTTCTTTAATTAAAGAAACGTTTAAATATTATTTTAAACATGTGAAGTAGATTTTTTACATGAAAAAAAAGGTTTTTATTGGAAATAATTAATATTAAAAATGACCGTCTCGAATTATAGAATTGATCGACTAGTGAAATTTAGCCTCTCTATAGGTCAAAAATGTGAAATAATATGTCATGAAAAAGCAACAAAATGTGAAAACATAACATATATTTCGTTTTATTGATTGTTTCATGATTTTTGTAAATCAAATTTAAAAAACTATGGTGTTTTATAGTAAGTTGCAATTCAACAACAAATAAAGAAAATTTTGTTAAAAATTATACGAAAGGAAGTTTATTTAGAACACCAAGAATGAAGAATCTAAATCTAAAGTGTAATAGAAACTATGAACAATTATAATTTTATATTTTATTACATTATATTAGTATTGTTAATGAAAATTAAAGTTTCATTATTTTAAATTGAAATAATATTTTATATTTTATTTTAACCCTTTTAGATTGTTATTAACGAAAATTTTCGCAGTAAATATTTCTCTTGATTAAAAAATCAACCTTAAAAAAATACCCAAATTTTTTTTAAATTTTTATTTATTTATTTATTTATAACTTAAAAGTTGAAGTTTATTTAAAATTTTCAAAATAATTGGATTTAATAGAAAAGTTTTATTAAAACATTTAAAATAATTAATTTTTCTTAAAAATTTTATCAAAACTGTTGAAAATAATTTAATTTAATATTTTTTAAAAATAATTGTATTCTTTCGAGAAATTTTATTAAAATTGTATTAAAATTCTGAAATATTTGTTTTTAACTTCTATGAAAAGAAATTTAATTTTTCAAGAATTTTATTAAAAAATTGACATAATTAGATTTTTATAAACAAATTTTATCATTTTCTAATTTTTATAGAATATAATTTAATATTGTTTACAAGGAAATTTACTATTTAAAATAATAATTAAATTATTAAAATGGTTTTAAAATGTCATAGGAAAATTTCACGTGGAATTGCCCATATATTATTTGCATTAATTTGTGGGTCATACCAGTGAAAGAAAACCGTCTAGAGCTGGTTGCTGGTTCTGTGGAGAAAAAGTATTATTTTAGGGTCGCTGATTACGAATTCGACGTCAGTTTTTCAAAATTCAAAATGGCGGATAATTTTTTTTCAAATTCATCGGATTCACTTGAAACTTCTTACTTAGGGGTTTTTGGAGTTGCTGATTAGGATTTCGTTTTTAAACATTTTAAATAACGTATCTATTAAAACAAAGAAATTCTTCTAAAATTGCTTATTTTTTAAAAATCTTGTTATTTGAAATATTTTAAGGTTGCATTATAATAATTATAATAAATAAGGAAATAATTTGCATCTCATTTCTATTTCTTAATTACAATTGTTTTAATAAAATTCAAAGTATTTTTTAAATAAAGGAAAAAAAAATGTTTATAACTTCTATTTATCAATTACAAATTTTTATTAAAAATGAAATTAAAAATTTTTGAATTTTTAGAAAATAAAGGAATAGGGTTGCCACGTTTTTGGTCTTTTCAAATTTCCAGACTTTTCCAGGTTTTCCAGCTTACAAACGGAATTTTTCCAGGTTTTTAAAACGAAAATTATTCGAAAACATCAATAACTTCATTTTTAAATAAATACTTCATTATTATTATTTTTTCATAGAAATTAAGATTTTCAAAAATTTTAAATTCAATAATATATAATAATTAAAACTTGCTACTTTGTTACTGTAACTTTTTCAAAAATTATTTTTATCATTACGATTATTTATTTCTAGAATTTTCAGCTAAATTTTTCTTTATGTCAATTTTTTAAAAATAATTTTCAAAAAAGTTCTTTGAGAATTTTTAAATTCTTTTGTTCACAATTTAATTTCACGAAATTTCGATTATTCTGACATTCTTCAATTAAATATATTAGAAATTAAAAACTTTAAATAATTAAAAAAAAATCCATTAAACTTCTTGAAAAATATTATACTTCTACAGAATTCTTAATTAAAAGTATGAAAAGTTCAGATTTTCAAAGATTTTAATTTTAAAACCTTTTGAAAATTCAGTTATTTCTAAAAATCCACGCTATAATACTTTTAATATTCAATTATAATCTAAAATTTTAAAATTCATGAATTTGAAATTCATTTTTAAATCAGTAGAAAATTTCAAACAAAATCTTTTGCAGTTCATCTACTTATAAGTAGATTTTATCGCACCTTTTTTAAAATTGAATTAATTTTGAAACATTTAAGTAAAATTATATTTCAAGAATAATCAATAATTTTAGAAAACCAATTTTCCAGGATTTTTCAAGGTTTTTTAAAATTTTCTGACATTTCCAGGTATTCCAGGTTTCCAGGAAATAAAACAAACATTTATAATTATTGAGGAACGTGTATAAACCTTAAGGCCATTTGTTATAGTTTATTTGACTGAAGATCGAAAATAACAGAATTTTTGTTTAACTGAATTTAAATGAACTTAAAATATTTAACAGAAATTTTATGAAACCAAAGTTTGATTTGATTGAACATACAATTACAATTGGCCAGGTACCCTCACCAAACGCAACTGCGCTTGCGCGACAAAAATGCTTCTATTTGTATATAAAACTTGTCCATCTAAAGTACTTTATATCAGAGAGTATATCTCTGCTTTATATGTATCAGGTATAATATAAAACGTTTTAAAAATGCGCGGTTCATTTCGCCAATAAGATCATTTTTGTAGTGCAAGCTAAGTTGCATTTTGTAAGGGTACTTCTGATTAGAAGGTAATTTTGTAAAAGAAGAATTTGAAATTGTTAAAAAAAAGGTTTAAAATGAAAGTGAAATGTTGAATAAAGTTAAAATGTTTTGAAAAAATTAAAATTTAAAAATTACACCGTTAAACTGAAACTAAATTATAAGTAAAAAAGAGAAAAATGATTTAAATTTAAAGAAATAAATGTCTTTTACAAAATTACCTCCCCTCCTATTATTGATTATTTTAATTTATAAAAAAAAACACAAATGTGCTTTTGTTTTTATAAAAAATTTGAAAAATTCAAACAATAATCAATAAAAGAAGTAGCATGTTTTTTAATTTCTTAAAAAACCTGGTATGCCTTTTTACAGGCTGGTTCGGATCTCAAGAGATCCCTGGTATGTACAATGGCAAAAAGCCATCACCACCAGGACCGAATAATGTTTTGTTAAATTATTTCCGCAATTAAGCAGTATATTGTCCATCGTAGAAATTTGTATTTCCGGTTGTTGAGGTTCCTTCTTTTCAAAGTCCTTGAAAAGATTTACTTAGTGCTGAAAATGAGAAAATAATTACAAATTAATTAATTTTTTAATGTTTTCCATAAAAAAAACTATTTTTTAACTATAAATTTTAAAAACTTACATTTAAAAATGAATGTTGAAAGTGATGGGAAAAATTATTTCTGCAATTCTGCAGCCTCATGTTCAATGTCATCATTTTTGATCCGAAATAGATGGTGATTTTTTATGGAATCCTTTGGTATGATTTTTTCTTGAACAAGTGCAAGATTAAGAATATTGCGTCCTGCATTTACATCTCTTTCCCACGTTGTCTTGCATTTCGCACAATAAGTGTAGCGATGGGGACTTTTTGATATTTTTAGTGGTCTCACACAGCGACTACACATTTTTGTTGTATTAAATTCATTTACTTTAACGACTTGCAATTTATCTTTTCCTAATTCCGCTGATCTTTGGAAAAGAGTTTGTTGAATACGTTTCAAAGGAGCTTTAGTGTATCCCTTGATAAAATTAGGTATTTCAGCTCCACCAATAGCAACGAAACAGGGTTTCTTCTTTGTATCACCTACTATCCAATTTACAAGTTGATCAACTTGTCGTTTGTGCGCCGAATATTGATCTATTTTTAAACGCGTTACGGATCTTTTTTGATGAAGTGATTGGAAATTTTGTAAAAGATGTATTCTATATTTTGTTATGCGATGGCGATCTCGAGGATTAGTCATGCAAAAATTTTCCATCCATGGATCCTCAGCAAGTTGCTTGTAATATTTTTGCATGTCTATACCTTTTTTCTTCATTAATTCTCTTCTTCTGTAGTCGCCCATCTGCCATCTCATCATCCAACTACCAATGTAAATAGCTGAATCCTTTTTTACATTAGTGGTTGGATTAGGATCGTTTTCTCTACTGACACCAGCCAGAGTCGCCCTCGCACCAGGATCAAAACCACAAAATTTTTTGTAACTTCCAACTTTCTTCTTTGATTGCACAACATCATGTTTTGTGGGTAAATCAAAAATTACTGACACGTCCACACCATTTGTCGTTATTGTACCAGAGAATTTACCACCATTCTTTAATTTCTTTCGACCTCTTTGGATTGATTTAAAGTTGAACATTGAATTCCACCTTTCTTCATTGTTCATTTCTCTTAAGCGCTTCATTTCATCGTCCATTTTATCAACTGCTCTTTGAAGATGATCCTTATTCTTTTTTGAATTACTTTTCTTTTTTTGTAAAATTGCCTTTTTTTTTTTAATTTCTTGAATAACAGTTGCCATTTGCAATTCTTTTAAAGCAGTATTTGTATAAACGACATGCTTCACGCCTAATGAAATTTGTGGAATTAATGTGAAATTCTTCTTCTTTTTATCATGAAATTGTTGTTGAATCATAATGAAAAATGGCAAAAATTTATGCCATTCTTCATCTTTTGTCAATTTTCTAAAGTCCAATTTTTTTCATTGGTAGCATCAACATCATCCTTTTTCAGTAAATCAATAGGGAATCCTTTCACTTGACATTTATTTTTTTGCAGCAGGAGATTTAAAGCAGCAACAGATTCTTTATAAAATGAAGGCCTTCTTTTTCGAAATTTCTTTTTTTCCTTATTCTTCTCTTTTTCTTCTTCCTTCTTCTTCTCTTTTTCTTCTTCTTTTTCATTATTCTTCTCTTTTTCTTCTTCTTTTTCCTTTTTCGATTTTTTTCTTCGCCTTCTTGGCCTTTTTTTATAATAGACTTTATCGCAATGTTTGTGATATTTTTCCTGTCGAACATATCTTTCATCGCAATAGTCTGATGTATTTTTTTCTCGCATTTCATCTGGAATTTTTTTTTGAGATTTTTGAAATTCTTTTCTTTGTTCATTTTTAATGCTATTTTTAAAACTCCTAATTTTTATTTTTTCATCATTATCATTTTTGATACGGTAAACTGAACAAATTTCTTGAATTTCATCTACTTCCATATGATTTTTTTCTTCGTCTTCAATTTCCATTAATAGCTGCAAATATCTTCTTAATCGTGATGCTGCATGCGTCGTGAAATTTGTTTTAAAGTTTCGATTCAACACTAAAGCTGCCTCCTGAATTATTGCCGTTCTATGTTCTCCGTCATAAAGTGGAATGTCATTCCTTAATTCTTTATATTCATTGACCATTGTATTTATTTTCGCATCCTGTTCAGTTACTTTACGTTGAGCATTTACTTTCTGCTTTAATGATATTAAAAATGGCAGAAAGTCGGGACCATTGTTGGTCCATTTCTCCAACAATGATGGACAATTTTCAACATTCGTTTCTTCATACAGGCCGAATAATGCCATTGTTGTTGCCTCATACATCATTGATGAAACAACCTTTGCATCTTCTTCAATTCGATTTTTTATGTTTGCTGATTTACATAATTTTCCCAAACAAACTTTTACCGTATGCTTTTCTGTTCCCATTAATTCCAATCTTCTTCTCACTTTATGATGCAACGGTTTATCAATATTTTCATTATCCAAAGTAATTGACTTTCTTTTTCTGTTTGAAGAAACACCAATTGTAGATTTCTCGACACTGTATTTCTTTCGTTTTGAAGAGGGGCCAGCACCACTTTCAATTGATGAGTCAACACCTATAATTGGAAGAAATGAAAATTTTATTAATTTTATATTGAGAGAGATTAAGAAAATATAAAAGAAGAAAAAAGAAAACAAAATTTTACCATCTCTTTTTGAAGTTGATGTTGAATGGGAAAATTTAGCTTCTTGCTTTTTCGATTTCTCTACTTTTGAAGAAGTGATTTTTAAATCAGGTCCAGTTGATGACGATAATGATAATGATGTTTCTGTTGGTACACGGTAAACTGAACATGGTGACAGCTTTTCAGGAGAATCACTTGGTGCTGAAAAAGAAAAAAAGGAATTAAATAAATTAAAATTTTTAAATTGTTATTTTAATAAAATATTTTTAAAATGTACCCAGGTGAAAATGATTCATCGTACGAATCATTTTTTCCTTGGTTAATTATTAAAAACTTCCCTGCTGGAAGTAAATAGATAGAAACCTTTTCTCTTTTAATCCCTTTCTATTGCTAATATAGAAAGAGATATGAATAATGTATAACTTTTAATCTCCTACCTATACTTCTTTATGCCTTTCTATTCCTACCTTTATCAACTTGTTCGCTATTTCTTTTAATCACCTTTTTTGAATAACTTTTAATAGCCATTTTAAACCCTTCTATCTCTTTTTATATACAATCTTATTACAACTTTTTGTTATCCCTTTCAATCACCTTTTCTCTATTACTTTTAAAATCCTGTCTATTTCCTTGTATCTCTTTCAATGTTAGACCTTATAGACACCCCTGTTTAAAAAATTTGATAGGAATGGAAAGAAAAAAATTTCTTTCCATTTCAATCCTGTTTCTGAATCAAAAATTTTCAACAATTACAATCAGTTTCTATCACATACTTCTAATAGAAAGTCTATCCAAATCAATACTTTGTCTATCCGAAAATTGTCCCATGTTGTCCCACTGATTTCAAAGAAATTCCTATCAAATTCTATCAAAATTAATTATTAAAATTTGTTTCCAATCCAATAAGATTTTTTGATTAAAATCCTATTATAACCTATTAGAAACAATCACTGAAAGTTCTTTCCTATTGTATCCAATATTTTAATGGAAATTCTATCAAATTCTATCAAAATTGAGTATTAGAAATTGTTTCCAATCCAATAAGATTTTTTGATTTAAATTCTATCCAATCCTATTAAAAACAATTACCGAAAGTTCTTTCCTATTGTATCCAATATTTTAATGAAAATTCTATCAAATTCTATCAAAATTGATTATTAAAAATTGTTTCCAATCCAATAAGATTTTTTTATTAAAATCCTATTATAACCTATTAGAAACAATCACTGAAAGTTCTTTCCTATTGTATCCAATATTTTAATGGAAATTCTATCAAATTCTATCAAAATTGATTATTAAAAATTGTTTCCAATCCAATAAGATTTTTTGATTAAAATCCTATTATATCCTATTAGAAACAATCACTGAAAGTTCTTTCCTATTGTATCCAATATTTTAATGGAAATTCTATCAAATTATATCAAAATCAATTATTAAAAATTGTTTCCAGTCGGGACGCATGATTATTCCCCAAATGTCATTTTTTGCGAAATGTCATTTTTACGAATTGATATTTTTGCGAAATGTAATTTTTGCGAATTGTCACTTTCGCAAAAATGACAATTCGTAAAAATGACTTTTCGCAAAAATGACTAATCGTAAACATGACGTTTCACAAAAATGGCTTTTCGCAAAACTGACATTTCACAAAAATGACTTTTCGTAAAAATAGCGATTCGCAAAAGTGGCAAGTCGCAAAAATGGCATTTCGCAAAAATGACAATTTGCAAAAATGGCTTTTCGCAAAAATGTCAATTGACAAAAATAAAAATTTGTAAAAATGGCTTTTCGTAAAAATGACAATTTGCAAAAATGGCTTTTCGCAAAAATGACAATTCGCAAAATTGACAATTCGTAAAAATGATTTTTCGCAAAAATTACTATTCGCAAAAATGCCTTTTCGCAAAAATGACTATTCGTTCCAATCCAATAAGATTTTTTGATTAAAATCCTATTATATCCTACTATTAGAAACAATTACCGAAAGTTCTTTCCTATTGTACCCAATATTTTAATGGAAATTCTATCAAATTCAATCAAAATTGATTATTAAAAACTGTTTCTAATCCAATAAGATTTTTTGATTAAATTTCTATTATATCCTATTAGAAACAATGACCAAAAGTTCGTTTTGGTTTTATGATTGATGCTCATATGGGAGTGTACCTTAAAGGTGCGATCCCATGTGAGCAGAATACGCCGACTGAAAGTAGAAAATCATTAAAGTGAAAAGAACAACATTATCTACCTATGTCTTTTGCACTCCTGATTTTCTGCTTAATTAAATAATACTTTGCAGGCATTTAATTTTTTAACTTTATTAAATTTTACTGTATCTTTATAACATAATTAACAACCTTTGCTTTTCACATTATTGAATTTTATTATAAATTTCAGTTTGTTTATACAAAATATTTTATATTAATATAATGAAGATGACAATATTTATAATAATTTTAATAATAGAAATAATAATAACGCCACGTTCTTTATAAAATATATAGATAAATAAATGACTAAAAACAATTTTGTCATTAGCTGTTATTTATATTAGAATTTATTTTATATATATTATTCTTATTATGTATTACACACTATCACTATGGAGGCTCTCCATATCTTCATCATCGTTGTTCAGATCTAAACTTTCAAGATGGTCTTTTCCTTCTGGATGATCTGTTATATGATCTACAAGTTGCATATCATCTTCCAAATCTTCATCACTTAATTCTGGATCTAAATTATTCTCCAAAACCCCATTTTTTTCATTATCTACAAAAAATATAATTATTTAATCAAACATTTTAAAAAATTCCTTTATTAAAACGCAATAAAAAATGTATGTTTACCTTCACTTCCAATTATATTCTGTAATTTTTTATCTTTTTTCTTAAGCTCTGAGATTTTGTGAGATATATAATTTGTAACTTTTAGTTTCTCCATTTCGGCAAAATTGGCATCTTTTTTTAAAATGTTTTTAATCCAAAAGGAGGTAATGTCTATAATTGATAAAAAAAAGTAAAGTTTACATTTCAAACAAAATTTTCAATAATTTTCTAAAAGGTTTTGATGTCAATTTTTCTTACCTCTAATTGCCATTATTTTAATAGGATCCAACTTTGAGGGTGGTTTTGCATTAGGAAACTTATTTTTTATTCTATTGGATAAGCCACCTGTCACTGTGCTTGCACGTAATGCCTCAATTCCAAATACTGTGATTGCAATTTCCTTAACAAATAAAGATGGTGTCATTCGGGACCTTCCTGCTATTGCATCATAACATGTCTTTTTAATCCAAATATTACGGCCCAAATGAATCTGTGAAAATGAATATTTTAAACATGTATTAATGTTTAATTTAAATGTTTCTATTGAATTATCTTTCTACAAAGAAGGTCGCAATTAGTGATTGATTAGAGTTATTAAATATAACTTTCTTCAAAAACCAAATATGCTACTAAATTGTAATAATATTCTTACATATATAGTGACAAATGTAATAAAATATTTTTTAGTTTTATAAATTTTAAAAAGGCTTCTTCCCTGATATAAACTTTAAATACTTTTTGGAGATTATAGGATATTAGTGTAAGAAATTATTTAATTACTTCAATTGTTACCTCTTCTCCTCGAATTGCACCGCTTTTATCTGCACATTCCTTTCCACTTGCGTTTGCTACTTCTGTTACTTCCGTAGTCAAATCTTGTAAATTTGCTGTAAAAATTTTAAATTATTAGATTATAAGTACAAGATAAATGCTATTTAAGCTATGGACAACTAACACTTACATTGTATATTTGAAAACTGCCCTATTACTTTCCTTTGTAACTCAACATTCAAAGAAAATAGAATATTTTTTTGATCCATTTCATCACGCAATTGACTTTTTAGCTTAGCATTCTCTAGCAACAATTTCTTAATCTGCTGTTCCTTCTCTTTTAATTTTAATTTTAATGCATTAACTGTTGAACCTTCAGATTGTACATCTTCTTTTGGAATTTCCTAGAAGTACATATAATAATTTGTGTTTATTATTATTATTGTTCAATTTGATCTAATTCTAAGTACATATTCTATGTGCTTCATATAGACAAATGTAGAACTTACCTTTGATGTTTTCTTTACTTCATTTATTGGTGGTTCAGAAGTAGCTAGTTTAACCACGCGTACTACAGCCTTATAGTCATATGCATTTCGGTTTCGGGCTTTGTCATATTTGAGGCCGATGTTTCACCTACTGATTTTAATTTTGCCAGCTTTTGTAGCAAAATGTTTTCACCATCATTTTTATTCATCTGTAAATGTCACATTAAAGACAATTGTTGTAATCGAAATAATTTTTAAGGTAATAGCTGAATAAAAAAATAATTTTTGTATAGAAATGTTATTTCGTACAAAGGAAAACATTTTAAAGAAAATATATATAAAAACATGCTATATACCTTGCGTTTAAGGTTCTTCTTTTGATTCTCAAGGTCAGTTTCTGTATCAGAGGACGCAGACTCCAAACCTTTGTAATTAGGAATTACAATTCTCTTATTTTTTTTAGCCACCATATAATTTGTAACACTTTCTTCAGTTCCTAAAAAGAAATTCTAATGGTAAATAACTTCTAGTATTACTTTTATATTTAGAATTGATCCTAACCTTTAAAACATAAAAATTTTTTAATAATTATATATTCTGCAAATTCAACGTAATCTACCTAAATCATTAACAAGGTTTTTCACAATCTTACTGAAATCATGATGTAAGCTTACGGCAATCTTGTTGAGAAATATTACTCGAAAAATGTTCTGTTTCTGTTTTCTTTCAAAGATTTGCCCCTATGTGAGTTCAATATTTTCAAAAAAACGTAAATAATTTTATGTTAAATATGTGTTTTTCATTGTTTATAATCATTATAAACATTAATTTTTTGTTGTAAAAAAATATTCTCCAAGAGAATTTATGAGAATTTTTGTGCTTCTGTACGAAACATAGTTTCTATAGTAAAGTTTATCTTATGGCGGATAATTCGTTGGTGTATCGCACTTTTGTCTGCTATTTTTAAATAATTAGTATTATATTTATATTAGTAGGATTAATAATGATTACTTTTAAAAAATATTAAATCTAAATTTATTAAATCATCTTAAAAACATTATTCATTTCATTCAAATTACTTTAAGTATTTTATACCAAATTTAACTTTTATTTTATACGACCCTACTGACAATCCCTGTATAAGATCTTGTACAAGAAAATGCACACGTTCAGCAGCTGAACTTGTACAAGAAAATGTACAATTTCTTGTACAAGGATTTGAAACAAGTTCTTGTATTGGAACTTGTACAAGAAAATGTACAAGTACTTGTACGAGAAAAGAAACTAGTACAAGAAAATGTATATGATCTTGTACGGGCTCATGTACAAATACTTGTATACATGAACACGTACAAGTACTTGTACATTTTCTTTACACATTATTTTTAAGTTGTAAAAATTATAAACATTAAAGGCTGCGCAGTAGTTTTTATAAGCCTTTAGAGCTGCGCAATAGTTTTTAGCTTGCCTGAAGTGAAGAGTCTTAACGATTATAAGTTATTGAAATGCCAATTTTAAAAAAAAATTATTTTTAAATTTACTTATTCCAATTTTGTAAAAAAAAAATTATTTATAAATTAACTTGTACAAGAACATGAATGTGTTCATGTATACAAGTTCTTGTACATGAACCCGTACAAGATCATATACATTTTCTTGTACAAGTTCTAATACAAGAACTTGTTTCAAATCCTTGTACAAGAAATTGTACATTTTCTTGTACAAGTTCAGCTGCTGGACGTGTGCATTTCCTTGTACAAGATCTTATACAGGGATTTTCAGTAGGGAATATTATTGAAATTATTGTTTTTTCAGTGAAAGGGAATTATTTATTTTATTTATTTATTTTATTTATTAATATTATGTAATGTTAATTATTTAATTAATTATTATCAATTTTAATTTATAAAATTTGTTTTTATTTTAAAACAGATAAGTGCCCAGGCGGAAAAGTCGGACGAACGTCGGAGTTTACAACCGGCTGGGATCCGCGCCCGTACAGACCGCAAGTACCGACGGTCTGTACCGATTCGGATCTGAAAAAGCAACCGGCGCGGTACAGATTATGCTCCGACTGTCGGAACCGTCTTCCCACTATTGTCAGTACTGGCTCGGTACTGGATTTCTTCCGCCGGCGGATCTTATTCTTCTGCGGCGTCGGAAGAATGACGGATATGTTGAGTCTGTACTGGCTCGGTACTGGGGCGGATCCGACTGCGGATCTTGTCATTTATTGTCACATTATAAATTAAATAATTATTACAAGTAATTGCATTATTTTAGAAAATAATTATTAATAAATGAATCTAATCAATATATTAAGTAATTATTTATTGAGACTTTTTTAAAAATTAAATAATTAGAAAAATTCGTTATTAATTAATATTATATATTATTAATTAATAATATCTCAATAATAATTGAATAATTGTTTCTCAATATAATAATATTGAAGGTAATGATATTAATAATTTTAATTAATATCTCAATAATAATAAATTTATGGTTATTGATATATTATTAATTAATATTAATATTGATAATTTATTATTAATTCTCAATAATATTAATGTTAATTAATAATATCTTAATAATAATAAATTTATTATTATTGAGATATTAATTAAAATTATTAATATTATTACGTTCAATATTATTATATTGAAAAACAATTATTCAATATATGTATTATATAATAATAAAAATATAACAAGTTTCTTTTTTAACGAAATATTGAAATAGTCCTAAATATACATTCAATTAAGTATTGAAAATATGGCGGTATCATTGACGCGTAGTAATTCTACAAGTTTTATTTCAGCTTGTGACACTTGAGAGTATTTAAGATTTGAGAGTCCCATGCGAGCGTAGCATAGTGGTTAGCGTGCGAGATTTCGGTGCGTAAATATTCGGTTAGGCGTAGGTTCGTACCCCAAGCGTTAGGATTTTTCAAATGTCTATGTAATAAAAAATTGCGTTTAAGTGTATAAAAAAATATAAAAAATGTGTAAAGTGAACTGTCAATGAATTGTCATTAGTATTTATCTTTTGCAATTAATTATTATTTTTTGTATTGATATTTGTTGAAATTATCATTTGGATCCGACCCGGTTGTCAGTCGGTAGAATGCCAGCGCTCAGCTGGCTATTGAATGAAAAATCCACGGTCGGTAGAGTGCCAGGTCCCAGCCGGTTGAATTATACACGGAACGGCTTCTCCCGGCCGGTCAGCGGGCGGTAGAATGCCAGTTCCGGGCCGGTTGCCAGCGCGCTCCTGGCCTAGTCACTATTCGGTAGAATGCCCGTTCACATTCGGTTGGCAGGCGGTTCCGAGCCAGTACAGTTACACCGGCGTCAGTACGGGCTAGGATCCGCGCCGGTTGGAAATTTCCGCCTGGGTGCGCGCATGCATTTAAATGCAGAGAAAATTCTCTTAAATTCTGCGGAAGGAGAATATTCTCGGTCATATTCTGGAGAATATAACCGGATTTTAAATTACCGAGAATTTTGCATCTCTAACGATAATATCATTATGCTACTGGGTAAAAGCTTAGATGGTGAAAAGATTTTTTTTATTTTACTTCTAGAGTTAACTTTTAAAGATATTTTGAGCAATGTAAAGACAACAGTTAAACAGGGTGTCTACATTTGTTTAAAAAATTTTCGTCATTCTCCAAATAATTTTTCCAGGTTTATCATTTTTCATTTTAAATTTATCTGATTTTAACCTTAAATAAATTTACGGATGGCTACAAAAATTCACTTTTTTATGAAAATACTCTTTTTTAAGTTTAATTGTGATTTTGACGAGAATTGTTTTTAGATTTTGAACGTTATTGAACTTTGCAAGAAGAATTTTATTAATTTTGAAAATAATTGAATTTTTGAATTCATTTGTAACTTCTCCAAAATTAAATTTTTAATAGGTTTTTAACTAAAAATTTCCTACAAATCCATTATTTTTAATAAAATTAATTAAATATATATTGACAAATTTAATTAATTTCAAGATGAATTTGAATTATTAAAATTTTCCAAAAATCCAAGTTCATTAACATTTCTAATTAAATTTATTCAAAATTGAAATTTTAAAAAATTTCCAATTGAAACTTTTTGAAGTTTATCTATTTATGGAAATAGTTGTAAGCGCAACTCTTTAAATGTTTGATGAATTTTGTAATATTTAAGTATAATTATTCATTAAATAATTTTTAAGTACCTATATAATTTTATGATATTTCTTCAAGAATTAAGTTATTTAAAATGAAATTGTGGAGCCGGGAAGAACTCGAAGAACGCCTGAACGTATTCTCTATAATATCAGTCAAGGAGCAGTGAGCGCCTCTGGGCCTGTCACTGCTACCCGACTGGCATTAGCGCATGCGTTCGAGCGTTCGTCGAATTCTTCTTCCCGGTTTCTCAATTACTTATTGTCAGAAATAGAAAAAATTGATGGTTTTGTATTAGAATGCTTTGTGATTTCATGGCAAAAAAGACACAAAAATTCAGAATTTTCTTATGAATTCTAAAAAGCAGGGTTGCCACAGGTCAGGGAAAAGTCATGGATTATTATATTAAAATTACTGGAAAAAATTAAATTTTTAGAATTAATAAGAAAATTCTGAATTTTTGTGTATTTTTTTAAAAAACTTTAATTTTAGTTTTTAAAAATTTTAATGCAATTATTTGAAAGAATTCAATTATCTCAATAAATATTAAAATTCTTTCCAAAAATTCAATAATTACATTCAAAAATTAATGTAGGAAATTATTTGCTGATTGAGAATTTTAATTAAGGAAGATTTCGACTATATCAGCAATTAGTGACATCTATTAGACGTCAATTGAACTCTTTGGTTTAGAGTCAGGTGTTATTCTTAAGATAATTACTCCGATATGGTTGTCGGTAAATAATTATATTTTTGAATTTAATTTTTGATCTGAAAAAATAAGCTGCGTGAACGACTGCACTGTGCATCTGTGAGGACTCGAACCCCAGTTAATAGCTGCCTTTCGCGGGACTAACGCCTACCAATGCACCATGCCAACACAGCCTGGACGTTCACGTTTCTTATAATCTCAGATCAAGCCCATACACTAGTCGAAGAGCTGTATAGTTAATGTAGGAAATTATTTGCTGATTGAGAATTTTAATTAAGGAAGATTTCGACTATATCAGCAATTAGTGACATCTATTAGACGTCAATTGAACTCTTTGGTTTAGAGTCAGGTGTTATTCTTAAGATAATTACTCCGATATGGTTGTCGGTAAATAATTATATTTTTGAATTTAATTTTTGATCTGAAAAAATAAGCTGCGTGAACGACTGCACTGTGCATCTGTGAGGACTCGAACCCCAGTTAATAGCTGCCTTTCGCGGGACTAACGCCTACCAATGCACCATGCCAACACAGCCTGGACGTTCACGTTTCTTATAATCTCAGATCAAGCCCATACACTAGTCGAAGAGCTGTATAGTTAATGTAGGAAATTATTTGCTGATTGAGAATTTTAATTAAGGAAGATTTCGACTATATCAGCAATTAGTGACATCTATTAGACGTCAATTGAACTCTTTGGTTTAGAGTCAGGTGTTATTCTTAAGATAATTACTCCGATATGGTTGTCGGTAAATAATTATATTTTTGAATTTAATTTTTGATCTGAAAAAATAAGCTGCGTGAACGACTGCACTGTGCATCTGTGAGGACTCGAACCCCAGTTAATAGCTGCGTGTTGGCATGGTGCATTGGTAGGCGTTAGTCCCGCGAAAGGCAGCTATTAACTGGGGTTCGAGTCCTCACAGATGCACAGTGCAGTCGTTCACGCAGCTTATTTTTTCAGATCAAAAATTAAATTCAAAAATATAATTATTTACCGACAACCATATCGGAGTAATTATCTTAAGAATAACACCTGACTCTAAACCAAAGAGTTCAATTGACGTCTAATAGATGTCACTAATTGCTGATATAGTCGAAATCTTCCTTAATTAAAATTCTCAATCAGCAAATAATTTCCTACATTAACTATACAGCTCTTCGACTAGTGTATGGGCTTGATCTGAGATTATAAGAAACGTGAACGTCCAGGCTGTGTTGGCATGGTGCATTGGTAGGCGTTAGTCCCGCGAAAGGCAGCTATTAACTGGGGTTCGAGTCCTCACAGATGCACAGTGCAGTCGTTCACGCAGCTTATTTTTTCAGATCAAAAATTAAATTCAAAAATATAATTATTTACCGACAACCATATCGGAGTAATTATCTTAAGAATAACACCTGACTCTAAACCAAAGAGTTCAATTGACGTCTAATAGATGTCACTAATTGCTGATATAGTCGAAATCTTCCTTAATTACATTCAAAAATGTTTAAAAAATTCTCGTCAACATTTTAATTATCTTTAAAAGTAGCAAAATTCATTGTAAAATTTAATTATTTTCATAAATAACAATATTCATCACAAGAATTCAATTATTTTCAAAATTAATAAAATTCTTCTTAGAAATTCAATTATTTTCCAAGAGTCGAAAAAAATTGTCAACTTTTAAATTAATTATCTTTATAAATGAATAGCAAAATTCTTCGACAAAATTTAATTATTTTAGGGAATTTTGGTAAAATTCATTGCAAAATTCAATTACTTTCATAAAGAATAGTATTCGTCACAAGAATTCAATTATTTTTAAAAGTAATAAAATTCAATTATTCTCAAAAATTTTAATAACATTTATGGCAAAATATCAATTATTTTAAAAAATTTTTATTAATTTAATGATTTTTCAATATTCTACTATTTTAATAAAGTTTCACAAAAGAATTCAATTATTAAACAACAATTTTGACAATATTTAACAGGAACATTCAATTATTTTTCAAGCAAATAAAAATTTCACAGGAATTCAATTATTAAAAATAGAATTTGCATACATTTTTTTAGAAAAAACTATTTGTTTGAAACTTCTTTTATAGAATTCTTCTCAATAATTTAATTATTTTCATAAATAATAAAATTCATTGGAGAATTTTAATTATTTTTAATAAAATTTCAATCGAATTCCTTAGAAACTGTAATTATTTTTAAAATGTTATTAAATTTCATCGAAAAAAGTCAATTATTTAAAAATTTGTTGATAAAATTATGTATAAAAATACAATTTTAAGAAACATTTAATTATTCAATAAATTGTTTATTTTTGTATTTAAATCATTGAATTCTGGTAGAAATTTTTAATAAAAAATAAAAATTGATTCAAAAATGACTTTTAGTTCAGATTTTACATAATAATTGAATATTTAGAGACATTTAAACCTGAATTTTTAGAAATAATTGAATTTTGAAAAGGTTTTTTATTTTCAAAATTGGCAAAATTTTAATTTTTTTCAAAAATGTTCTTCAATTCAATGATTTTTAATATCTAGTATTTTAATAAAATTTTCTAAAAGAATACAATTATTTACAATATATTCTAAGAAAATAAATTCAATTATTATTTACAATTATTATTAATAATTATTATTTATTTTCATAAATAATACAATTTTTACAAGGATTCAATTATTGTCTTAAATAAGAAAATTCTGTTTAGGAATTGAATTATTTTCATAAATAATAAAGCTCATTGCAGAATTTTAATTATTTTTAATAAAATTTTAATCAAATTCCTTAAAAACAGAAATTATTTTTAAAAATGTTATTAAAATTCGTCGAAAGAATTCAATTATTTTAAAATTTTTTGATAGAATTATTTATGAGAATTTAATTTTAAGAAGCATTCAATTATTCACTAAATTATCTACGTTTGTTTTTAAATAATTGAATTCTCATAGAATTTTCTAATAATAATTGATTTATGAGTGAATTTCAGTTAAAGTTTTAGATAGTAATTGAATTTTGTTCAAGTTTTGAATTAAAATCTTTGATTTGATTTCAAAAAGCTTAACTGCAATTTTTTAAAATTATTTCATGTTTTTATTTTCTAATGTGTATATTTAATTAAAGAATTTCCGAATAATTAAAATTTCACGTATAATAGAATTGTAAAGAAATGTAACAACATTCTTATATTATAATATAAAATAATGATTTTATTATTCGGTCATCTTTAATTACTAAAAAACAGTAAGAAATGGATCACTCCATTTTTTTCCTAATACTTATTAATAATATTCTTTCAAGTTATTGAATTTGAAAGTTTTGAAATATTTTTTCCTATGCAAAAATAATAATGATTTTAAAAAAGAAATCAAGTTATTGATATTTTCGAATAATTTTACAATTAAAAAAATTCTTAAATAAATGTACCTAATAGAACATTTTTTTGACTATTTAATCATTTTTAGAGTGAATCAGAATATTCTTTGGGGTCAGGGAAAAAGATAAAATTTTGTCTGGAGAAAAAAAGTAATTATTTTTTTAATATTTAAAAAACATCTATAATAATATAAGAAACATTGTACTTTTTAATACTATTTTTAAAAAATTGTTAAGAGTTTGAAAAAATCCATAAAATGCTAGTTCTTATACTTTATTTCCAGCATGTGCTTTACAAAAGTTAGAGTTTGTTTTATATCTTTTTCTAAAACTGTTAAAAGTGAGAATGAAGTAATAAATTTGTCTCTGGTTTCGTACTTAAGCCGAAAAACATGTGTATGCCAAACCTTTTTCCAATTCTACACTCTAGGCGAAAAGGACAATATAATTTGAAAACCCCCAGACCTCTATAGCTTTATTTCAAAGGACAAAAAAATGAAGAAAAAGTTTTTTCTATTTCAAACGATTTTTGTAGCAGCATAATATCGCTTTTGGAAAAACCCAATAGCGGGTTAAGAATTATATACAAAAAAAAAAACAAGTTGTTCCAAAAAATATTAAAAAATTCCAATGAATAATTTTTGGTATAAAACAATTATTAAAAATAAACGTAAAAATGAATGTAACTTTGTGAGCTAATTTAGAAAACTTACAGAAAAAAAATTTTTTTAAAAATAATCTCAAACATTTGTAAATGATTTTTTGAAATTATTTCAACTTTATGATATTCTACAGAAAATATGATTAATATTGTGTATAATTTAACTTAATAATTAAAAACTCGGAAAATTGTACTTTATTTATAAAATTAATTAAATAAATTTTTTAATTATTGAAAAATTTAAATAAAAGAAAATAAGCTTGTAAAATAATTAAAAAGACAAATTTTGAAAACAAATATTTTTTCTAAATTTTCTCTGAAAGTTATTTGTTTTTTGAATGGGACAAGCGAAATACATCTTAATAATTGAAAGCACAAAAAAATTAAAGTACTTTCTAAATTTTAATTATTAAAAATGAGTTCTAACTTAAAATAGTAAACTTTATTAATAAATATCAGTAAAAAGAACTATTTATTAGTAAAATTTACTTATTCAAAAGCAAAACGTAACAGCACTAATTCAAATTAATAAAAAATTATACTAATTCAAATTTTTAGAGTACTGAGAGGTACTTCATAAAATATTTATTTAAAATAAATACTCTTAGAGAACTATGAGAATAACTGAAAAGTTGATGAAAATTAATAGAAAATACACCTGCAATAATTGAAAGGAAAAAAATTATCAGTAAAAAAATAAGTAGAAAAATTGTAAACAAGTGACAGTCTTTTAAATTTCAATTGATATTTTGGAAGAATTATTAACACATATAATTTATTATAATAAAGCAAGTAAATAAAACAATTACCTCCAATAAAAAGTAAAATAGCACAACAAAATCCATCTCCACAGCTAATTCGAACATTTTTCTTCTGCAAAACTTCATCACCACTAAAATTTTTCACATTTTTTGTTTCCACAACACTTAAACTTTTATGTCGAACACACGGTAGATGAAATTTGGCACACGCGTAATCCATTTTTAAAGAGAAAAATTAATTTTTTTTTAGCGCAAAAAGTTACAACCGGCCGCTTAGACAGTTTGAATAGAACTTAGCGCGTTCGTGACTCTCGTGACACGAGAAAGCCCGAATACTCTTTGAGCACTCTTCTACCTGCTTTCAGTCGTGAAGAAATCTGAATAAAATTGAAATAAATCAGTTAATAACTAAGTTAGTAAGTTGGTTAGTAAGTTAATTAGTAAATAAGTTAGTAAGTAAGTTAGTAATTTTGTTAGTAATCGTTATCATTTAGTTTTTATTTGAAGTAAAGTGTCACATTACAGTGACATTGCTGTAACATTACACTGCAAAAAGAGGTGTCTTATTTTGAGATGTTTTTAGTGTCTTAGATACCAAAAACGTCTTAATTTAAGACGTTTTTGGTTGAACGTTTAAAAAACTTGTCCAAGTAACGTCTTTTTTTAAGATATAAGAAATATCTTGACCTTATATAATATATTATAATCATCTGAGATTTCAGTAAGATGCTTTAGAAAACATCTTTATTTTAAGATGCACACCACCCAGAGAAAAGGTATATTTGCCACAGAACCAACTAGACTTTTTATTTGTTACAAAATAATTTATATTTGGTTTAAATAAAATTGTATTTGGCTCAAATATATGTTTTATTTATGTGGAATAAAATTTTTTATTTGAAACAAATAAAGTCTAGTTTGTTCTCAAACAAATATACGGTTATTTAACTGAAATAAAATATATTTGGTTAAAATACCATTTCTTTTTGTTTAAGATACCGCATTTTACCATCTTACATCTCATTTTAAAATATCGAAATAAACACCTATTCCTTCTACATTTTTCAACAAAATTTTTTCATATTTTTAATATTTAAAAACTTTTTTTTAAAAAAAATTAAAAACCCCAAAAGAATATATAAGTAGTTAAATTTTATTAACCCTCGGAGAACACATGGGGTCATTTTGACCCCACGATTTTTTGCGAAAAGCTTTTTATCCGAAGGGGAATTTACTAGTAAAAATAGTGTACACTTGACTCCCTGTTCCACTTATTATCATTATTACCAAGTGTTACCGAGTATTACTAAGTATTACTAAGTATTACCAAGTATTACCAATTATTACCAAGTATTACCACTTATTACCAAGTATTACCTATTATTTTTAAAATATTTCCGCATTCAAAAATTTAACACGTTGAATTTCACTTTCTTATACGTAGAATTTACAACAAAATTATTTAAAAATCTTATTTAAAATAAAAACTACAATGAAACGCAGTGAAATAAATAATTAAATAATTTGTACATACAAAAGACAATAATAATTTAATTGAGAATTGTCTCTTTTTAAAAACATAAATAAAAAAAATATCATTTGAATTGGTTTGAATTTTCAAGTAATTTTTTTTTTTTGAGTTTCAGTTGACGGATTTAAAAATCAAAATATGTATTATTTTCGTCTTGAATTGCACTATTTGAATATATTTCTTTAATTTTAAAAATTTTTTATATTATTTGTTTATAAAATGTTAATAAAGAAATATGTTCTTCACGTCCTAACAAAAAAATTAAAATTGTATTATATTCTTTAAATGTCTCCGAGTATGAAATTTAAATTAAAGGAGATAAAATTTATAACAGATTCCTCTAAACCGATTTTTGAATTTTTATTTGTTTATATTTTTTTGTTACTCAAAGTTAACAATTTACAATATTTTTGGAAAAAATCATGTTTATTTTTTTATTTTTCCATTGCACATGATCGAAATCAATTTAAATTAGTCTAGTATGTGTACCAGATAAATAATAATATGCATAATGCAATTTATTTAAATTGTTGAAAACAATATTAATTAACAAATAGATAACTTTGGTCATTGTTCATAAAACAATTGTTTTTTGCAAACAAAATGTTTACTTAAGTAATTTATGCCTATTTTGCTAAAAAATTATTTTGAATTTAATAATTACCATTGTTATTAAGAATAATTGCATGAATAATTGCGTGATCTAGTTACCAATAATCAAGTAGAGCTTTACATGACATTAAACTCGTAAAACAAGAAAAACAGTTTTTCTTTTTGCAGAAATAAGCCATTTATTTGTTTAATAAGTGAATCATTTGTTTATAACAAATGTAAATGTTTATTCTAATAAATTTTTTCAGTTTTTTAAAGAATGTACGTATGACCAGGCATTACTAAGTATTATTAGGTATTACCTATTACCAAGTATTACCAAGTATTACCAGGAGAGTGTACACTTGACTCCCTGAGTAAATTCCCCCTCGTTTTTATCTATTGTTTAATATTTTTTATAAGGATTTTAAAGTACACAGACTTATTTTATAGAGTTTAAACTATATTTTCAAAAAGTCCTTAGGTTAAGCAGATGAACAGTTCAAAATTGGTTGAGCATTGAAAAATGACCTAAAAAAGAGGTGTGTTCTCCGAAGGTTAATCTATCTCAAAGTACTCTCATTCTGGAGTGTCTTCAGTTGTGAGACACTTCCAGTTGTGAGACAGTCAATTTTTTTTAACATGCAATATTAAAAAGCCGATTGGTTTATATAAAAACATTTCCTTTTATATGAGCCAACTTTTTCGTGTAGGCCGAAGCGGATATATGAATTGTTTGTGTTAGATCCCAACTCTGTGTGAGAGGATCGACTAAAAAGCGTTTTTACCATAAATGCAAAGTACTTTTTTCCCAAGTTAATTAATTGGAAATGGTAAATGTAATGCATTTTATTTTAGTATTTTCCTTATATTTTGTGATGCAATATTGCATTGTTCCAATCTACGGTTGAAAATAATTTAAATACATAACGATAGGTCAAAAAATCGATCTCGAAAAATTTTGGTATTACAATACTTCTTCTGTGAGGAAGCAAAAATAAGTTATTACTTATATAGAAACAAGAAGGTGAATATGCATAAATTGTAATCTTTAGTACACCAAGAGAAAAATGTTATTTAAACTAAATATATTACATATTTGCGTTAAATAAACGTTTATTTATCTCAGAACTTGGCTCATTAGAGCCAAATAACATTTTTTAAAGCAAAAAATTTATTTGAAAAAAATAAAAAGTTTAGTTGGTTCTGAGCCAAATATACCTTTTCTCTGGATGTACCTGTTTAATTAAAACTCGATTCTTTACATTAAAATTCCTTCTATGTGTAGTGTGTAATTGACAGATGGAAAGAATTCGCCGAGCGCGCGGTCGCAAGGTATCATACCAGTCAGGTAGCAGTGAGAACCTTTAGTCCGCTCACTGCTTAATTTACTCTCTTAATTTGAATCAGTTAAAAAACATGGTTTTAACTGACAATCAGTGACTAACTTTTTGCTTCTGAATTAGTTGAAAATAACTGATTTCCAGTTAAGAAATAACTGATTTCCAGTAAGAAACAGGGACCGTCACGGAATCAAAACAAAATTAAAAAATACTTTTGTTTTGATTCGGATATGGGTATCAGAATCAAAATTATTCTCTATTAAGTTTTGATTCAGATAACCGAATCAAAAATAAATTATGTTTATGTTCTGATTCCAATATCAAAATCAAAATTCCACTCTATTTAGTTTTGATTCCATCAGTATCAAAATCAAAATTCCACTCTATTTAGTTTTGATTCCAATATCAAAATCAATATTCCACTCTATTTAGTTTTAATTCCAATATCAAAATCAAAATTCTTTTTTGTTTTAATTTTGATAAAATACTACTGCGCATGTATAAGTCTCATTGAACATTACTGCGCATGTCTAAAGTACACACAGTATTACTGTGCATGCTGTGCATGAGTTAAGTACTCATTAAATTATTGAGCAAGTTTAGTTTACACGCAACATTAACACGCATATCTAAAATACCTAAATTTTGTTGCAAATGTCAAATATATCAGAAGATAATATCGTTTTTACATACCAAATCTGAAGTAGAATTCGAATCGACTTCTGTGTCTATAAGAAAACCGAATTACAGTATTACAGTATCAGAATCAAAATAGGAAGTAAATTTTGTTTCGTTGCAGTATCAGAATCAAAATAGGAAGTAAATTTTGTTTCGTTACAGTATTGAAATCAAAATAGGAAGTAAATTTTGTTTCGTTACAGTATCAGAATCAAAATAGGAAGTAAATTTTGTATCGTCACAGTATCAGAATCAAAATATAAAGTGAATTTTGTTTAGTTATCGAATCAAAATCAAAATAGGAAGTAAATTTTGTTTCATTACAATATCAGAATCAAAATAGGAAGTAAATTTTGTTTCGTTACCGAATCAAAATCAAAATACATTGATAATTTCGTTTTGTTTTGAAATATCGTAACGAAATCAAAATTTGATTTCCGTGACGGTCCCTGGTAAGAAAGAAATGAAAAATTAGTTACACCTGATTAATTGAATCAACCAAAAAACCATTTACTGAAACATCAGTTATTTTTAATTAATTATCAGTAACAATATTACTATTTGAATTAGTTACTGACTTTTTACTTCTAAATCAGTTATTTTTAACTGATTCAAATTTAGAAAGTAGCGGTCCGGTCGGAAAGAAGATCTCAAGTTCTTTCCAGCAGCTAAACATTTGTTCTGCACCTGTTGCAATTCATCTACCATCTACCTGGTAGTACTTTCCCAATGTAAAGGGACAATGTTTGTAGGATTAAGCAACTTCCAAAATTTTCTTCAGAACGGTGATGAATCTAGACACTTACTGACTGTAGTCGCGATTCGCAACAAGAAGAAGTAGCTTAGCAAAGTTGGTGCCCGAAATGATAGTTGACTAGTGATTTTAAGTGTCTTTATATTATCTAATGAATTGGATATAAAGTAAAAGGTAAGTTTAACATTTTTGAAAATTTAAATGAAAAAATTAGCACTTATTTTTAGTGGCTTTTACTGTAAGTAAGTTACAATCTTTGGTTCAAGCAATGATAAATCGTTTTTTGGATATTTATATATGGGGCATTCCACGCCAAATCGGAAATTATTTTGCTTTTGCATCTCAAATTTTTTTTAAACATTTTTTTTTCTTTTAGTACTCTTTAAAATGAGCTACCTTGATTTTTTTTTAAATTTTTTCATAAAGCGGTTTAGGAGATACAGATTTTTAAAAAATGACATTTTTTACGTACATTTTTTT